TGTGTGTGTGTGTGTGTGTGTGTGTGTGTGTGTGTGTACACATGCATGAGTGCCTGCCCCACTTTCATTTTTTTAAAAAAGCAGGAGTCCTACCATGGTTCACGTGACAAGCCCACTCTCTGAGTCCCTGGGCTCTGGGATCCTAGGGTATTTCGGAAGGACACACTTTGAACCCTAGTGTTTCTTGACATAAAGTGAGAGAGGTTTCATGGGGTACAGCCCGTCATAAAGAGGTGAGGGGCTGGAAAATGTCATGGGGGTACACGTCTGAGAAGCCACGCTGTTCATGATAAAAGAGGATAGCATCTCATCCCCAACGCCAGGCTCAGACTGAGGAGCTGAGCTGAGCTGGGCTGGACCATTAGCAAGGGCAGTTGTGTCCTCCTCCAGCGACGATGATGGTGACAGAGAGGCTGAAGTGCCTGCCACATGTACACACACACACACACACACACACACACACACACACACACACATCCACGTACATATATACATGCTTTAAATGTTTGGGTATTCATCTTCATTTCATTCCAAAAAAGCTGCTGTTGCCACCCCTGGCCCAGAGTACACGTTTGTTGAGTGACTCGTACCCGTCTGTGGACCATTAGCCAAACTCAGGTTCACAGAAACTGATAGACGGGGGTGGGGGGTGGGGGAGGTGGGAGGATGGGGGGGGTTTCTGCAGCAAGTGAGACCAAAGCGGAGTGGCAATGGGGACACGGTCTCCAGGTCCGACTCCAGCTCTGTGTTCTTGATTGGGCTGTCATTTGAATCTAATATTACGCCCGAATCCAGTCCTGGTGGCTCCTGGCTTTAAACAGGAGGGTTCTTAGCATGCAGGTTGATGTCCACGGCTTTGCATGCGTGCAAACAGAGGGATGTTTGGGGGATTTGAAATGGCAAAGGCCATGGCTAGGATTGGTGGGCTGGTTCTAAGGCCCCGTCCAACCGTAGAGAGCTCTGTCCACTTGCTGTTGCTGAGGGCGGCCTCACGGTGATCTAACCCCTCCCCTCGAACCCCCCACCCCCGACCCGCGTGGCTTGCTAATGCATCTTTGATGGTCTCCTTTGTAGAAAATGGCCTCTCACTGCTGAGCTACCAGCTGTGCAGCTACCCGGTGACTCAACGCGTCCAGAGGCTGCAGGAGGTGCAGACCTCCCACACAGCCTTCGTGCACTGTGGAGGATGGATCCCATGGAAGAAGTGCCCCAAGACTGTGTACCGGACCCAGTATCTGGCGGTGGAGGTCCCCGAGTCCAGGAATGTGACCAGCTGCTGTGAGGGCTTTGAGCAGCTTGGCTTCTACTGCATTCTGTGTGAGTCCAGGGGGATGGAGCAGGGTGTGTGTGAGTCGGGGGGGGGGGGGGAGGCAAGCTGCTTTTCCCTGGAGGGAAGAGTTGCTGGGACTGTGTGTGCAGGCCTGAGAGGTTTCCCTGAAATACTGGATCTTTCTAGAACATTGCTGTTCAGTCTTGATTGTACCTCAGGAGCTTCTAGAATACAGACCTATCCCCCTACCCCCCCCACCCCACCCCCCCCCGGTTTCTGATTCCATAGCTCAAGTAAAATAGAGGAGTCGTCAGACTTTTAACATGTGCTAGAGAGAGGCCACAGCTGGAGAGCCTCTGTGGCCCTCAGACCTGACTGTACAACGAGGGCTTCTGGGCGCTGGGCACCATGCAGCAGCCTCAGCGCTGGCGGCCGAACTGATCTGAGCCTCGGATGAGCATCTGCAGCTTTTATAACCTGAGTGGCTCTAACCCAGTGGCATTTGAGACCCAGTGTCCCCACCTCTCCAACAGTGGAGCCTGCCCTCTCCTTCCAAGGCTGCTGTGGAACTCCTGTCTCAGCTGAAACCCTAATCTGAACCCCACTAGAGAGAGAGATGGAGGGGCTGGGCCTCCTGTCTCACTGCCCAGAGGTCCCCTTGTCCTCCACCTCCAGGTGCAGGTTTGTGGGATGAGCAGGCTGGTTACCCAGGTGATCTATATGACTGTTCACATCACAGCTAGAGCTAGGCATGGCTTGGGGTACAGGGCCCAGCTCCTAACTTGGAGGGGGTGCACTGAGTACCTCTTCTAGCAAAGGGGTGTGGGTGTGGAGGTGGTACTTGCTTGTTCTGAGTCAGTATCAGGTTGGAATGGGCTTCTGTGCATTCAGAAGATCCTGTCTCTCACTCAAAATAGACAGGATGTTTGCGTGTGTGTGTGTGTGTGTGTGTGTGTGTGTGTGTGTGTGTGGTGGGGGGGGGGTGGGGGGGGGGGGGGGGGGGGGGGGGGGGGGGGGGGGGGGGGGGGGGGGGGTTGTCCAGTGTCATGGAATGTCAACTGAGGCCACCCTGAGATGTGAGAGCTCCTGCTCCAGTGTGCAAGAAGTGTAAATTTGGGTACTCCAAAAGGAATCTCACATGACCTATCTCTATGGCCCAGGGCTGGGTCACTAGCAGATTAAGGACCCTCCCAACCAGGCGGACCCCCCCCCCCCACTCCTCCATGGACCAGGGTTTGCATGCAGGCTTCAGAGTGCAAACTTGTGGAAGGCCATCTTGGCTCCATTTTCTGAACCCTCCTGACTGTGCTCACCCTTCAACACGCCTCCAGTGTGACGTCATGAGGATAGAATGGCCGACACTTCCCACTGCCCTATTCCAAAGGTCAGGCAAGGTGCTGGTGTGGGTGTAGTAGTAACCCCTGCTGATCAAGGGGTTAAAGGATGACCCATCTCCAGTGGGAACCGTTCAGGGCTAGCAGCCATTCCATGTTCCCACTGTCTCCCTGCAGGGACCCTAAGAGGCCATCCAGCTAGGTGCTGGTCTAAGGCTGCCTGCCATGACACCTGCTCCTTCCCACAGTCCCTGTTCCCACTCCCAGGCTCGCCGGCACCAACGACACAGCTCTTGATGCTACTCCAGCTCCTAGGTTGGGTAGTGGCTTCCGCTGGGTGCCATCGTGGACCTGCAAAGGCCTTAGACCCCTGACACTGTGTTTCAGAGAGTGGAGGCCCTGGCGGAGTCTGGCCGTGGAAGGCTGGCTCTGGCCCGATCTGTCTCATTCACCAGTGCCAGTAACACTGTCTCCTAGCTGTGGGCTAGTCTCGGGGTTATGAAGGGTCACCCAGCTGAAGGTCAGGGGAGGGGCAGTCAGGGGAGGCTGATCCTCAGCTTCTCCCTCCCCACCGCTGTGCTAGCCAGGGCAGCCCCCACCACCTCACCCGCTACATTGACAGAGAAAGTGATGCTGAGGTCCCTCCCTACCGTTCCCCTGTGTCCTTCATCCTCTGCCCCCCACCAAACAGTTCCTGGGGGGCGGATATCTGTTGTGGAACTTGAGCCACACTTTTAGGGTATTACTACCTTTAATTGGGGGAGATCATGGGCAGGTTGACCCTCAGTTAGAACCCTAGTTAGGGTCCCCAGGGTAGGAAGAGAGGCCCACTCTGGCGAAGCCCTTGCTCTGGGAGACAGCGGAGGCAGAGGACGATGTGGCGGGGACAGGGCAAGTAGGATGGTGGTTATGGGGTGGCTGGGGATGAAGGAGAGTGGTCCTGGAGTGCCTAACAGTGTGTGGACCCTTAAATCTTGGACAGCCCGGTCAAACAGGGTGATGGGTGGCTAGAAAGCAGCCTGAATAAAATGGAAGAGGGGAGGCATCAGCACTGACTATGGTCTCCTAACAGAGGTCACAGTGGACAGGGCCCCCGCCCCCAGGTCCGCTGGCAGGGACACAGTGTGGGAGACACCAGTGGCCTGGCAGGCAGTGCAACTGGGGTCAGATTGGGGCTCGGCCCTGGGCGGTGAGAGCTGGTCACATTGTAACTGGGGCGGCTGTGTCCCGTCACCACGAAAACAGGAAGACGGGAATAGGACTTTTACACTGTGCTGTATTTAGAGAGCCAGCGGTCTGGGGAGGAGGGTGGGGACAGCCCAGAGAGCTGCCTCCCTCTCATCCCTAGCCAGCAAGCTTTATAGGGATGGGTGAAAGGTGAGCCAATCGTCCTGAGCAGCCTTGTCCCCTGGCCAGGTGGTCGGCCTGGTCCCTAAGATGCAGGTGTCCCTGCCTCCCTCCTTACCGGCCCTGGAGTTCCTCCTTCATTCTGTGGACATTTGGGCTCAGACACTGTTTTCTTTTTTAAGTGACTTCAGAGGGTGGGAACAGCTCGGCGGCAGCAGAATGTGAGCCTAGCAAGTGCAAGGCCCAGGGTTCAGTCCTCAACAACAGGAAAAAAAGACATACGTGTGTTGGGAGGGCGGGTCAGAGGACAACTTACAAAAGTCCCTTCTCTCCTTCCACTATGTGGGTCCTAGGGATCAAACGCAGGCTGGTGTTGTGCATCAAATGCCAGCTCACCAGGCAATTCTTTGTAACGCGGAGTTGAGTTAGCGTCTGCCGGGATCAACCTTGTATGTCTCCAAGGACATCTAGATTAGGGACGAGGTAGGGGTTAACTCAGAACAAACGAGCCATTAACATCATGATGTGCTAGGTTATTAATAGCATGCAAACTCTTTCTACAACATCCAATTAAAAAAAAAAAAAAGTGCTCAGTCTCCCCGCCTGTCCCCCATCAAGGACATTTTCCCGTTCACCCGGTACAGCCTGCTAGAGGGGAGTCTGAAATTTGAGGCTAGCAGTCCCAGTGAGGATAGCAGGGGAGGCATTTCAGGACACAGAGGACATCCGTGATCATGGGGACAGAGGCTCCTCTGTCACTCTGAAGCATAAAGGGTTCTCTCCCCTCTTAGAGACCTCCATTCAGGAGAAACCAGGTTTTTGTGGCTTGGTCGCAGGAAAGGATTCCAGGATGAGCCAGTATGACAGCGTCAGCAATAGGTTATGGATCGTCTTGTCCCTAAGAGGGCCCGGTTTATTTTATTCTTTGAGACGTCTGTAGGAAAAGACGTGTTATCTGGTTGGGCAGTTTGTGCTTCATCAGTGGGGCCTGAGGTCTCTTGTCTATCAGCAGAAAAGACAAAATCGACCCTGCACGGAAGGTCTTCTCCCTTCCCAGTTACCATAGCTTCTGTCTTTTTATCCTTTCTATTCCGACACTGGGTTCTCCTTGGGGAGGTCCCTGCTGGTGTCAAGGCTTGGTGTAGGATACACCCCATGGCCACCGTAGTGTGCCCCTGTCTTTGAGAGCTGAGACCTAAGGGTCTCCAGCTGTGCATTCAGGGGCATCCCCTTGGTGGCTTGACGGTGCCTGCGGGACCACATGGACACCACAGGTGTGGGCAGACAGCTTTCCCCATGCTGCTGATTTGAGGTGTATTTCATAACTGCTTATTCATAGTCACCACAGGCTTATGGTTTTAGCCCAGTAAGTTGTTAGTCTCAACAGCCATGGCCCAGGTGTGTGTACAACAAGGCTGGGTCAGAGCTGGGTCCACAGGTGTCCAGGAGGACAGAAACAGGACCAAAGACACACTCACCTTCACCCAAGTATGGGCAGCATTGACCTCTCGGCTGGTGCCCGACCCTCGGCATCTCACCCCCAGCCAGCTGTGTGACCCCGGACAATGCCCTTCTTCCTCCCTCCACCCAGTAAGGTGGAGCCATCCCAAACAGGGACGGGTACACCGGCTGTGACTTCCAGTGTCACCACCTCTTTCCAACTCCAAGAATCTCGTACTTGGAATGCAATGCTAAGCCATATGTTCATTTATTAAAATTTTAAAAATACTGTTATAAACGTGAACTCGCCAGGCACACAGTTTAGAAGCAAAGGAAAGAATGGAGAGCAGTCACTGCAAAGCCTGTCACCCAAAGGTCACCTCTGGTGACACATCCCATCACTCATACTCTAGGGTCAACATTGCATAAGAGGCTGGTCACCCTGCTGGAACTTTCTGTTGCATTTTTCATTATTTAGCCATTCCCCCAAATGCTTTCCATGTCAATAATATTACTCTAGCCTTGATTTGGTGTTCTCAGGGCATTACCACATGTGGATGTGTAAGTGCCTATCAAGCAGTCTTGCCACTCAGCATTCATTGTTTCTGATTTTTAGTTATCAACAATGCTGCTTGTGATGGATGTTACACAGAACCATTACTCTAAGTTAGAGTTGGATTCAGCCTCAGCACATTCCAGGGGGCAGAGCTCTGTGTAGCAGCTCCGGTTCTGCAGGGCCCCTCTCCACCTGCCAACAATGTGGTACACTCACACTCCTTGTATAAACTCAGGACCTGCTGGACCAGGACACCCCCAACCTCCCACCTCCATGCAGATGCCCAGGGGCCCCTGCTGCTGACCAGTCTGAGGAGCAGAGGGAGGAGGTCCAAGAAGGACTATGCCCACCAGCCAGGGATTCCTTAGGCCTGGGCAGCCTTGGAGGCTGTGGTCCCAGTAGGAATCCCTGGGGCCGCCTGGCTGAACTGAGACTCATTGGGTTGCCAGGTGCTGAGCAGTGCTATTTTGTTGTTTGCCTTGAGTTGAGAAAGGAGAGATTTTTGACTTTCTACCAAGTTGACTGGCTATTCCTTTAGGACTAGTTACCAGCCCCAAAGCGGGAAGGGGAATTCCCAGCGGCAGTAAGATTGAGATGAAAACTTGGGTTCCAGAACTTAGCTGTTGTTAGGCAACTGTTGTTAGAGCCTGCCTTTTTCTGTGTGTGTGTGTGTGTGTGTGCGTGTGTGTGTGTGTGTGTGTGTG